TCTTTTCTTACAACTCATCCTCAGCAAACCACCTGTGTCTCATTGAAACTGGGACAACAACCCATCAGCTTTAAGTTATCCAAAAGAGATTAAGGAGATAATAAAGAAACGAATAAAGACAGACATTAGGAGAAAAAATAAGGAGTAAATAACAAGATTAGAATAAAAGAATGCCATAGCTACCAGTGAAGAGTCCTATGGAAGTCCAGGGCTTCACATGCAATGGCAGGTCCCCAGAGAAAAGGCAAGATGGAGCCCATGTGCTGCTGTATTTATGTGGTCTGGCCACGTGGCCACCCCTCCCAGGCTGGACGTCTGGCACTGACCACTCAATGCCCTCCAGGCCACTGTCTGGGGTGGTGCAGCCAGTCAGAGGCTCCAGGGGGTGTGGTGTGGTCGGGCAATCAGGCAGGCCTGTAGGTTGGCAGCCCTGCCATGTGGCTTCCGCGAGCCCGCGGGAGGCTACCATGAGGCTGCAGGCCTCACCATGGACTCCGACCTGGCGCCCTCCCCAACACACACGTGAGCTGGTTGGTTCCGATCCAATGATAAAATAATCCAGTAAGATTCAAATCTGGTATCTCACACTTCCAACTCAGCATGTTCTGTGATTCTGGAACTGAAGAAAATACTGGATGAAACTTCTTAACAAATCTTGCTTCCAAAAAGTCTCTTACGCTGACTTGTAAGTGGACAAAAGGGACAAAACTGAGTTACCAGGCTGAATAGGCTGGTAAAAGAATCTCTTTCAAGGGAAAAAAAAAAGCTTTACATGATGTAGAGTTATTGCCATCGTTCAAGCAGGTAAATTTAGACCAATTCTATTCACCTTCCATCTTATTTTTGACACTTGAATATATATAAAAATGTATAACTGAAATACATTTATGGAGCTGTCTTGTGGGCCTTAATTACAACAGCTGTGTTAGTCACAGAGGCTGTACGTATTTGTATATGCACATAGGAAGAGTTAACTCTTTCAGTAGATTAATTCCCTTTCCCTGCTTTAATTCAAAATCCCTAATTGTATTTTTAATGCTTTACAGAAGGAAAAAGAGAGAAATTACATATTTTCTCAGTTTCATTCCTTTACATGTAACAGTTTTAACAATTTGAATTCCAGCT